CAGACTTCTTTGCGGCTTCAGCGGCAGTTGCCTCAGCAATGGCTTCGTTTGCGGTGATGTTTGGTCAGTTTAGCAGTTTGCTTTGTAGGGTTGCGTCTCTTAGCCCAAGGACTATGCGATCCCTCATAGCTTCATCCATGTTGAGGAACTCGCATGCCCCCCCCCCAATGTCTCTTAACGCGGCTACGAAGTCTCCGATGCTCTCGCCTTCTAATTGGTCGCGCTTATAGAATTCGTGCCTTCTAATGAGATTGGACACGACTGGCGCGTAATGGTTCTTCAGCATCCGATTCAGGTCTGGCCAGGCCATCTGCTTAACATCATTTGGTCTCGCTAGTGCCTGGGCCATTTTGAAAATCGTTGGGCCACAATGCGTCAGGAATACGGCTCTATTCCTCTGGTCAGTGATCCCTTGTAGTTCGTTGTTTTCCAAGAACATCAGGAATATATCAATGTATGACTCCTAGTCTTCTTCGGCTGGATTGAACAGTGCGGGTAGCAAATTGTTGCCGGCCATTTCGTGGGTCTTTCGGCTCTCGTTGCCATGTGCTTACGGTCTTTGTTCCTTCGATCCCACCCTCTTCACCAGTGTTCTATCGCCAGAACAAAACGGACTCGAAGACCAGAGTTGAAAACAGCTCTTTATTAGCAACCAGTAACTTCAACTGAAGTCGAGCCGCGGCAGCCCTTTTTATAGCGGCTGCTCACGGCTCGCAACCAATGGCATGTATTTAAACTTCCCGCCACTATTCGGCCAATCGAAACTCGTTGTTCCCAACCAATCGTTATGCTGTATTAAGTAACCAATAGGAGTGAGGTATTAGAAGTCTGTATTTGAATACACTACACTTTTCACTTAAAAATCACCAGTATTTATTTAAATATAACAATATTTGCATAGCAGTTAGCATAAAATATCATAAAATCAATGGCCTATCCAAAAAATGTCATAAACTGTAAACCGTAACCGTAAAGCGTGCAGGACTTTTTCATACAGCTGTACTTTATATCTTCATTTTTATTTTCTTTACTGAATTATTTCACTTGTCTTTTAATTACTTGTTGTGTTTGTTTGTTTTTGACCCTCCTTACACGAAGTTCCCTGGATATCTTCCACCTGTCCCCTGTTTCTTCTGTTGATGCTTATTTTGTTATTTCCTTTCTCTCTTCTCCCTTCAACCGGTTCTCCTACAATCTGTGTTTACTCCAGAACGGAAATCTTTGCCTTCCTGTTCTAAATATTTACAACGCCCTGGAGGCAAACAGCTTCCAAAATTTGAGAAGAATGACTGCAACACAAACCAGCCAAATTGAATTTTGGAAAAAATGCTACATATGCCACAGGAATCGAACCTGTGAAGTGAACCTCACACAACACTTAAGACATAGCAGTCCCTGATTCTGTTACACAGAATGCTCTAAAGTAAACAATACTTTGTAGCCCCAATTCTTGTCAATGGTTTCACCTATAATTTAGGGCGAAAATAGAATTGGAAGGGACCAATCCCATGCTCAAGCAGGAACCCTATGTCATTTAGAAGAGAATATTGAGTAGAGTAGAGCAGAACAGAATAGAATAACCTGGAAGGGACCTTAGAGGTCTTCTAGTCCAACCCCCCTGCTCTGGCAGGAAATCCTATACTATTTCAGACAAATGGTTGTCCAATCTCTTCTTAAAAACCTCCAGTGTTGGAGCATTTACAACTTCTGGAGTCAAGCCGTTGACGTTCCAATGATTAATTGTTCTCACTGTTGGAAAATTTCCCCTTAGTTCTAAGTTGCTTCTCTCCTTGATTAGTTTCTACCTGTTGCTTCTTGTCCTGCCTTCAGGTGCTTTGGAGAATAGCTTGACTCCCTCTTCTTTGGGGCAGCCCCTGAGATATCAGAGCACTGCTATCATATCACTCCTAGTCCTTTTCATTCAACCCAATGCCTGCAAACGTTCTTGGTATGTTTTAGTCTCTAGTCCCCTAACCATCTTAGTTGCTCTTCTCTGCACTCTTTCCAGAGTCTCAACATCATTTTTGTATTATGACAACCAAAACTCGATGCGATATTCTAAGTGTGGCCTCACCAAGGCATTATAAAAATAAGAGCATTTTGGATTACATTTATGGGCACGCAAAACAAAAACACAACTGTAGTGCGTGTCAATCAGACACCTCTGGGGCACAGGTTTGCAGATTTAGAATAGAAAAGAATTCTTTTATTGGCCAGGTGTGATTGGACATACAAGGAATTTGTCTTGGTGCAAGTGAGGTACTAATACCACTCTATAAAGCCTTAGTAAGGCCACAACTAGAGTACTGCATCCAGTTTTGGTCACCACATTATTAAAAAGATGTTGAGACTCTAGAAAAACTACAGAGAAGAGCAACCAGGATGATTAGGGGACTGGAGGCTAAAACATACGATGAATGGTTATAGGAACTGGGCTTGGCTAGTCTAGGGAAGAGAAGGACCAGGGGAGACAGGAGAGCAGCCTTACAATAGTTGAGGGGCTGCCACAGAGAGGAGGAAGGGGTCAAGTTATTCTCCAAGGCACCTGAAGGCCAGACAAGGAATAATGGATGGAAACTAAACAAGGAGAGATTCAACCTGGAAATAAGGAGAAATTTTCTGACAGTGACAACAATCAACCAATGCAATCAAATCATACTAGGTAACAGTCAATAAAAATCGTAAGGATACAAGCGACAAAGTTACAATCCTACAGTCACAAGTGGGAGGGGAAGGGTGATAAGGAGTGATGAGAAGATTAACAGTAATACTAACGCAGACTTTGTAAATAGTTGAACAGTGTTGAGTTTAAGGTGTGTTACCACGAGTTGCGAGGACAAACTATGTTGTACAGCTGATCCTTGACATACAGGTAGTCCTCAACTTACAACGGTTCATTCAATGAGCATTCAAAGTTACAACGGCACTAAAAAAAAAAATCCCCGGTGACCATTTTTCACCCTTTTGAACCTTGCAGCTATCTCTTGTGATCATGTCATGATCAAAATTCGGACACTTGGCAACTGGTTTATATTTATGGCGGTTATGTCCTTTTTGTGACCTTCTGAGAACAGGGAACCTTGTTTCGCTTAATCAACCATGTTACTAACAAAAGCAATGATTTACTTAACAACCATGACGAGAAAAGTTGTAAAGTGCATCAAACTCACATAACAAATGTTATGGTGCCCTCCATGTGCTCACCAGAGGTAGCCTGACTGCCATTAGGTACCGAGATGAGATCCTCAGACCCCTTGTGAGACCATATGCTGGTGCGGTTGGCCCTGGGTTCCTCCTAATGCAAGACAATGCCAGACCTCATGTGGCTGGAGTGTGTCAGCAGTTCCTGCAAGACGAAGGCATTGATGCTGTGGACTGGCCCGCCCGTTCCCCAGACCTGAATCCAATTGAGCAGATCATGTCTCGCTCCATCCACCAACACCATGTTGCACCACAGACTGTCCAGGAGTTAGGGAATGCTTTAGTCCAGGTATGGGAGGAGATCCCTCAGGAGACCATCCGCCACCTCATCAGGAGCACGCCCAGGCATTGTAGGGAGGTCATATAGGCACATAGAGGCCACACACACTACTGAGCCTCATTTTGACTTGTTTTAAGGACATTACATCAAAGTTGGATCAGCCTGTAGTGTTTTTTTTT